TTACGTGGTTTTTTAGTGGTGTAATCATATTTTGAGAGACGAAAACAGGTGGCACAATTGTTAACCTAGCATAACTCACAAACGGATCAGGGCGTAAAGTTTAGGTTTATATCTAGTGTCATGAACCTTGATTAGCTGATGTAGGATTAGTCGCTTGGCATTCTTTCTTAATCAAGACATGGCGCGTATTCCTCAAAAACCCTAATCTCCTACCGTCGTATCACAGCGATTCAATGATTTGCGCCAACTGTGAGTCTAACATCAAATCGAAGTCAGCTCTAATAGTACCTAAAGTTCCGTAAAAGACTTTGTGGGAAGTTAGATATCAGAAGTCATACAGCGCATACCTATTTTTGGCAAACCCTGTACATAACGACATTCCCACATTTTATCCATATAAAATTTGAGCATCTCATTCCTGACCAATGGAGACACCAGATACCGTAACTAACCATAACAAACGGAAATGTACTTAGTATGTATATACTGGGCAGGATATTACAAATGAGTTTTGTACAATTTATACATTAGTTGTGCTGTGCTGATTAGCCTATATTCAAGCTATATTGTTGGCCATCATCGACTTGGTGGTCTTCAAAGCATACGTTGCCTTTGCGCAATAAAGAAACACCAAAAACACAAAAAACCTAGATATTTTGCTTAACGTAAGATCAACGCGTTTTCAGTTTGCTTACCACTTTTTGGAAATTTCTAACAGCTCACCCAGACAGAAGCTGCCGACCAATCTTCAAACATGGGATAAGCATCCATGTTCGACTATCCATAAATCTTGGCATTGTTGTAATCTTCTCGTTGGTTGCTTGAGCGTAGTCCAAGATTGGTACAGATTTATCGCACAGAACAGAATACAGACTAACGTTTCGGCGAACTCGCCTTCTTCAGAGTCTGAAAAGTCGAAGACACATAAGTAAACTATCCGATCAAACACCTCATCGACCACAGAAAAGAGACCAACCCCTAGGAAAAACAACAGCCTCAACCAAAACCAAGATTAAGCTAGTGCTCACCTTAGAAGATGATAATAATAGGTGGGTGCAGACCACTTATGTCAAAAACTGTACCGCTTAACTTTTATAGTTGACTAGTGACCCGGTGCTGACCTGACCTCATTATTCAAAAGCCACAGAGGCTTTGATATGGTGACAGTTCGTTAGTAATGGCTAGGCACTCGTCCTTCCGGTTGATTTTTGGATTCTGGGCGGCTATCCAAAACGCTTCGAGTGTCTTGCGCGCTAAGATCTCGGGTTCACGCGCCAGGATTCGAACCTGCACTCCCACCTCCGCGTCGTCATGGCTGAGCCTGCGATGCATGCCTAACGGAGTAGCTACGTTGCATTTGCTGAGACCATCTAAGTGTTCTTGGTGCGCGTACACAGGGGGCGCCCCGTCTCGCCAATATACGTGTCTCCACATGATGTACACGTGATAAGGTAGACAACACCTGATACCATACAGTCTCCTGCCTTTCCAAACGGACAAATCACACAACTAGGAGTTGTACAAAGACGATCATACTCGCGGTTTCGCACTAGTTGCTGTTTAAGGTTTGCGGGCGGAATGTCGACGATCCTCACCATATCGTTAAGGTCCGCTTGATGGAGTAATCTGCGAACAGCCCTACTAAATTCTTCTGAGATGTATGGTAGACAGAACGAAATCCGATCGTCAGCTTCTGATCTAGGCGACATACGGTGGACTCGGTATCTGTAAGAGTGATGAGTTTCAGTGCTGTATCCATTGGATTTTGCTACTGATCTTGCGAGCTCTAGCGAGTGCATCTTCTCGTCTCTATCAGAAGAAACTCCCGTAGCTGTTCTAAACATGTTTCCTATGATGGACTTCTTTATTCGTGCAGGATGTGCTGACGTTTGATGTACTAAGATGTTCTTGCTGCTCGGCTTTCGGTACCATCTGGTTTTGAAACGTCTGTCCGACAAACATAACTGCACGTTGAGGAACGGCAGCCATCCATCTTTGGGTTTTTCCCTCGTCATCTTGATGTTCGTGTCCTGGGCATTCATGGTGTTGAAGCAAGCGTCAAGCTCGGCCTGGGTAGGGCACACGATACAGCAGTCGTCTACGTAACGACAGTAGAGCAGAGGCTTGCTCGCCAGTAGTGGGGCTTCCACCTTAGACATGAAAACTGTCGCCAAGGTCGGCGCTAGCCTCTGTCCCATAGCCAATCCTCTAATTTGCCTATAATAGTTGCCACACCAACGAAAGATGGAGCAGTTGAGACATTCTTTAACCAATAACAAGATGCCTCTGATGCTAAGACCATAGAGATTAAGTGAAGATTGGTGTTCTAGAAGGAGTTCGAAGGTCGCCTGCATCGCGGCGTCGTTGGAGACATTGGTATAAAGCGATTCCACATCGAAAGACTCTAAAACGCACCCTTGCCTTACATTGGTGCTGCGTAGACGATCAAGAAACATTTTGGTGTTGGAGAGATGTGCGGGGACAAATCTCAGCAGTTGAGAGAGGATAGTATTGAGAAACCAAGAAATCCTGTCCGTAGGGCCTCCGACACCGCTGATGATAGGCCTTACCTTAAAATCCTGCGGGTTATTGGACATTAAACTATCTATAGGCACCTTGTGTGTTTTGATAAGAGTGTAGAGAACCGGACACAAGGGCAGATCGGTCTTTAAACGTGTAGCAATAGCCCTAGGAATGCCTTCAGCCTTAGCCACGTCTAACCACACCCTGTTTAAGCGGCGGTATTGCTTCCTGAAATCGTTTGCTGTCACAGGTTCGTATACGGTAGTATCCTGCAGATGGTGTTTAGTGATAGACATGTCTAGATCACGAGAGAGAACCACAAACTCTCCTCCTTTGTCGCTGACCGACACCTTGATCTCACCAGCCGCACAAAGATCGCGAACTTCGCGCAGGCCGCGGCGTTGCAAAAGTGTTAAATTACCATTTTGGCGTTTTTGGCGGAAACGATTGAGAATAGAGAACAACCCGGTAGCAAACACTCGAAATTTGGCATCCACTGGTTGATTAGGCTCCTGCGGTTTGTAAACTAAACGCGGAAAAGGAATGACTGGCCATGTTTTTCCCCCAGCTGTTTCGCCGTCTCTTACGCTCTCTCGCTCGTTGGCTCGTTGGCGTATCTTTTCGTGAACATATTGGAGGCTGCCGACAATCCTACGCGATACCCGAGATCCTATTGATTGACTAGGTGCAAAACTAGGACCAAGGTCTAGTAATGATAGCGCATTATCGGAAATGAGTGCATTGCCAATTACCGAGACCCGGAATCGACTAGGAGCATTAGTGAGAGTAGAAGCAGCACAGTTTTGACTTTTGTAACTACACTCTTGTGTATGGTCTTGCCCTTGTTCAACCAAAGTTTTGAACTTTTTCTGCAATCTAAACTTAGTATTAGATCGGATATGATCACAAATGTGCTTCGACTCACCCACGATCCTCTTCCAAAGGCGATCAGGCATATATCGTACACAACATTGTTCTTTGTACAAACACTTAGACAACATCTTATACATATGATCTTGCTTGGATCGAAGTGCCATACGAAGAAGTTGTTGCTCTATTTTCTTCACTTGCTGACTTTCTTTGGGTAGCCCGCATACTTCGTGGATTCGCTTCCTTGAGATGAAATTCGGCATCACATGTTCTTCTAAGCAGCGGCGTAGGAAGTGGATGGTCTGCCTCTCCGAAACAATCTTTTGTCTCAGAGAGAGAGTTTCTTTTACGAGTCGAAAGGAAGTTGCTGGTACATCATTCATAAGCATCCATGTTCGACTATCCATAAATCTTGGCATTGTTGTAATCTTCTCGTTGGTTGCTTGAGCGTAGTCCAAGATTGGTACAGATTTATCGCACAGAACAGAATACAGACTAACGTTATGATCGTCTTTGTACAACTCCTAGTTGTGTGATTTGTCCGTTTGGAAAGGCAGGAGACTGTATGGTATCAGGTGTTGTCTACCTTATCACGTGTACATCATGTGGAGACACGTATATTGGCGAGACGGGGCGCCCCCTGTGTACGCGCACCAAGAACACTTAGATGGTCTCAGCAAATGCAACGTAGCTACTCCGTTAGGCATGCATCGCAGGCTCAGCCATGACGACGCGGAGGTGGGAGTGCAGGTTCGAATCCTGGCGCGTGAACCCGAGATCTTAGCGCGCAAGACACTCGAAGCGTTTTGGATAGCCGCCCAGAATCCAAAAATCAACCGGAAGGACGAGTGCCTAGCCATTACTAACGAACTGTCACCATATCAAAGCCTCTGTGGCTTTTGAATAATGAGGTCAGGTCAGCACCGGGTCACTAGTCAACTATAAAAGTTAAGCGGTACAGTTTTTGACATAAGTGGTCTGCACCCACCTATTATTATCATCTTCTAAGGTGAGCACTAGCTTAATCTTGGTTTTGGTTGAGGCTGTTGTTTTTCCTAGGGGTTGGTCTCTTTTCTGTGGTCGATGAGGTGTTTGATCGGATAGTTTACTTATGTGTCTTCGACTTTTCAGACTCTGAAGAAGGCGAGTTCGCCGAAACGTTAGTCTGTATTCTGTTCTGTGCGATAAATCTGTACCAATCTTGGACTACGCTCAAGCAACCAACGAGAAAACATGGGATAATTTATGGGCATTCTTAATTCGCATAAAATCGAATAGCATATGCAAAGCAGAATAGCACGGCTTTCCCATGGGACGTGTAGCAAATAATAAAACTGAATGTTAACTATGGCAATGGGTAAGAAACACTTTTGCGCCATTGAAAGCTAGAGGCACAAATGATATGTAAAGAGCCTAAATAAATTTTCTAATCCCTCTCAAATTCAACAGTGAATAAACGTCTCCTGCCTTAAAAGGACTGCCATCTGCTCCTATTCGGATTTACATTAACGAAGGCTTCCACTTCACACTTTTAAAATAGGATTTTCTTCTAAAATTTCGTTCATTTCTTATTACAGTATGTTCTGATGTTCCAGAAATGTTCTGTAGTTTCAGTTTAAGTGCAACCAATGAAGTGGTTTCTGTTCTTTCTATTTGTCATTCTTCTGAGCGCTGAGACTCTTGAAGCTAAGAGAAAAAAGAAGGTAAGACGAGGTTTCTTGTTTTGAGATTACAAAATGTCTAAGCACTTGTGGGGCAAACTGGATTTATTGTTGGTTCACAAGCTTGTAGCGTAATCTTATAAATCACAAATACATTTCAGAAAAAGACTCGGAAGCCTACTGCAGTAAATATCGGAATTAGACCTCATCCATGGGAGATTGCGCATCAAAATCTTGCGGTAAACGACAATTTTTTAAGCTAGAGAAGCATAGCGCTTCCTCAAGGCAGTGGCTCAGGAGAATCGGAGTGGGGATTTCCACAACTACATGGCCTTCTGGACCAGCTGAGTTAGGTGCTGTGCTTGAAATGTCAAAAAATGTTTTTTTTGGAGTTTACCGGCCTTGCAGAAGAGGCAGAGAGGGATTCTTGCCATAACCAGCAAGTGACTGCAGGATACTGTGACTTTTCCTATTTTGACGGCAATCGGCGGGTAGTGGACTATATGTCGCCGAAAAAGGGCGGTCCCCGCGGTCATTTGCGACAAATACGCACCCTTGTACATGCGCGGACATGTGTTCCTTTAGGGAATCCGCGCGGGACTCTTCCAAATTCGGCGACATATAGTTATAGTCCTCCACCCGCAATCGGCTGATCAGCCCAGGCAATCAATACGATGCTGTTGACGGGAATCGGTCGCCCCGCCTCTCCAGCATTCTCCAAGGGCGGAAAACGCCAAAAGCACACCTTCTTGACTTTTCAAGCGCAGCATCTAACTCAGCTGGTCCAGAAAGCCATGTAGTTGTGAAAAACCCCCAGTCGGAAAATCGCGACTGGGGGTTCTTCACAACTACATGGTCCAGAAGACCATGTAGTTGTGAAAAACCCCCAGTCGCGATTTTCCCGAGCCACTGCCTTCAAGATAAGAGAAGTTAATGTAAGCTTTTATAGGCTGGACTGAACAAGTGAAGAAGCGCTAAAGTAATCACGGTTTGAGACAATCACGGTTTGAGACAGTGATATGTGGTTGATATTCAATCAAAGTAAACTGTTTCGAACTTTCATTTTTTTCCTTCTTGACACGCCAAGAATGTAATAAATATATTGAGTTATAGATATATGAGTAAGTTAATAAACTATTTATTTGATGCCAGAAGAAGGCCTGAGGCGAATCCATCCCAGCAACTAGCGAAAAGCTACTGTTAATTTTTAGTGTGTAATTGCACCAAATGCTTATCACTGAAGAAAGTGAAGAGACCTAGGAAGCTAGATATTTTACCTTGCATAATCCAATGGAAAATTCAGATCTCAAGGGTTAGTGCGCTCGCTATCTCAGACCGCAGCAGGACGGATTTAAGCCATATACTATGCAATTCGCAAAAGAAGCACTGTTATTCTTCCCATAACTCACAAGGCTTCAGTCGCGGAGATAAGTTTGAAGAAAAGTGCAAAGTATAAACTAAAAAAGCAATCAAACCTAAATGTTGAAAGTTTGAGAAAGCCCAGAGACAGCCCAACATCTGCAAGCACCCTTTAGACACAAAGGAACATACAGGGCGCGCCAAATTATTTGTGCCAAAATATTCAAAGTAATGCCACAACAATGGCAATGAGAGTCAGGATTCAATGTCACAGAATGCCGTAAGCATGCTCTACAAAGAGCACTATCAAGATCCCAAATCGGTCTTTATTTAGAGAAGTAGGAATTGCAAAAAGCAATGTTGGTGACAGAAAAAACGCAAGCTGACGCAAATTATTAAATAATCAAAATTTTTGTTTAGAATGCTCTCAAAGATTCCAAACTGCAGTGATCTTAAAGTCTAAAACTAGCTCTATTATACAGCGAAATCTTTACCTGAGAGAAGCGATCACTAAAAGGATACAGCTGGGCAAATTTGTGAGCCTCTGCCCGCCTGCAGCACGCACAAAGCCAGAGAAATATTATGAATTTTTACCGAAAAGCAAAACAGGCAATTTCACATTTACAACTAACAATAAGATACAATACTATAGAACTAAGAAAACAATATCAAGCTTGACCGCTGGCTGAGCCGGTCTTATGTTCGCATGTCGCTTAATGACGCGCAAATAATTGTGGCGCACCCTGTAAAGCATAAGAATACTACCCGGTTGTTCCAAATTAAACCTCTTTTCCGATAGACACGTTGCTTATGTTTTCCCAATAGATTCAGAGTGGTTGATAGAGCGAAGCAAGCTCTACAATATGATTGCCGAATTTCCACTAATTCATAATCAAGTTCGAAAGTTGGAGCCAAACATTAGAAGCCACATAGTAGTACTCAAAAATACATCAGCTGCATTTTTAGGCTCAAAATTAAGAGACGAATATAGCTAAAGAAAGCAAAGACATGGCTTTTTCGGGTTTTCAACGCTGAACTTGGTGATTCTTAATTATATTATTTACAGAGGAACAATTTCAAGATTATATCAAGTCGTTCCATAAGTTCGTAGCGTTTTCATTTTCTTCTTCATATACTTGAGGAGCGGTTGATTTGCGGCAAGTTGCGTATATCATTTGGAAGGGCTGATTGTGCTCTTTGAAATGTGTCTACTGATTCCGATGGAAAGGTGATTCACTCGAAAATCTCGTAGCTTCCGAAGATGGAAATCTTGAAAGGTAAAAGGAGCAATTTCGACATTTGCCCATTTTTCCTTATAAAAGGACCGCTTTTGCACAGATTTTTCGATTATGAAACATGGCGCTCGCACATCAATATGAGACAAAAAAGGATTTGATTGCTACAAAAGACGTGTGCCCCTCCTGTGCCAACTCCCAGCCCCGTAGGTCGAACTTTACAAAAAATCGATAAATTCGATAAAAGTAATCAATAATTCTGAAAACTAATATTGTATTCGGAACCCCATGCTCACTTACCCCCTGTGCCAACTCCCAGCCCCATAGGTGAACTCAGCAAAAAATCGATAAAAATCGATAAAATCGATATCGATCGATGACGAAATGTAGCCTATGACACCCGTCGGGGCACGAAGAGTATGTGTGTCAAGTTTGGTCCGGATCGGTTCAGAAATGGAATTTCCTAATCGGAACATACATACATACAGACAGACATACAGACAGACATACAGACAGATATACAAACAGACATTCAGCTTTATATATAAGATAAGATTGAAGAAAAATCGTATACTGTAGACCAATTTTCGGGCGAATTACAAAATTACTTGGCACAATACCAATACGACTCACAAATTTTATAAAATCCTATAAGTGAAGAATCGCTAAAGCAAACACGACTGGAAAGTGATGGAACAGTGACTGGACCCGGCACAGATGGAAGCGGGATGAACTTCTTTTTTGGAGCAAAAAGCAAAGGAGATATCGTTTTTGACGAGTCAGGGCCGAGCACCAAGAATAAGGGCCATTTGGTCGAACACAAGATTTCCGGACAGGTTATCACACTGACATCTTTGTATGGCGAAAAGTGCGCGCGATTTGAAAGCAATTCTGAAGCAAACAAATTGCTTGTTTACAGCGCGCAGAGAATCATATGACACCAAAATTGCACTGTATATATACAGAAAATTATTTGCAAAAGAATCATGCAAAAAGATCTGAAAACTTATGTGAAGTCATACCTTCTCCAATTAGTCCGCCTCGAATATATATATACTCCGAACGATCTCAGACGCATATATTTCTGTCACTTCGCATAAGTTTTGGATTATTCTATTAGGTTGGTGCAAAAGTAATGCGCGTTTTGCGAGTACTCACTTTGATGTGTTACAACTTTCTGAAAAATCTACATTATTCAATGCGGTTAAAAACACTAAAGGCACCAAACCTTACGCAATACAGCGTACATTTCCTTATGCTCATATAACCAATGGGCAGAAAAATATGGACTGATGAGCAGAAAAGGTATTTTTCTGAAACTTCTCTTTAACTGATCATAACTTTCTTCAAATTATGTTTACATGGATAGTAAATAGCCTATGTTGTAGCCGGAACCCAGTAGTACAAAAAAAGTTAAAAAGGGCCAAACAGAAGGTTTTGCTAAAAGGAAAAAATCAAAATCCAAAATTGCCCGCTTTCTTGAGCATTTTTTGGCAGGCCCAAAATATGGAGTTTTTTGAATTTTTGCGCAAGGCTTCGGACAGACTTCACGCGATTTGATCGTCGCGACTCAATCGCCGACATTTCCATTCGTTTTCATTTTACATTCAAAAATTCCGGACTGGAAAAGTATTACAACCGAAATGCAAGTTGATCGGCATAGAATGATGTTGTAACAGTTGTCTCGTCGCGATTCAGTCGCGACGATCAAATCGCGTGAAGTATGTCCGGGGCCTAATGAACAGCTACACAATTCTGTAAAAACCGTCAGCAGGAGGCCCACCCTCACGCTTACAGAAATGAGCAAAGCTGTGGCGATTGCTCTCTTCGAAGAAAATTTATGAGTTACATAATGATCAAAACGTGCCCATGTTAAGGCGCCGAAATCTCAGTCTAGGTGATTTCTGAGAAAATCGCCAAAATATGCATAATGTAGATAATTTCCATTAGATATAGAAGCTAAGTTTTAAAAGTTTACCTTTATTCCTGCTTGGTTTCTGGCCAGAGAATTAAATGCAATGAAATTTTGATGTCGAGTGCGGTTGTGCGTTGTTGTCTCTTATTTTTTAACTAATGAAGCTATAACTCCTCTTCAACCACCATTGGATAGAGGATGAAAGGCGCTTCTTGAATGTGTGCTAAGTTTTCTTCAAAGAAGAAAGTTTGATGGAGAAAATTAGTCCTAAAACAAGGGCTAGAAAAACGCATTACTTTTGCACCAACCTAATACCATGGACGGATTCCCCAGTCAAAAATATATCCCTGAGCATGAAGAAAATTTATATCATTGCCTTTCTTTTTTTGCCTTAATTTTTTCATAAATTGCTTTGTTAAATATTGCGCTCCAATGCCAAGTGTTGTTTATGCGTGGTATTTAGCTCCATATTGCATTTTCACTCTTAACTCACATTTTTTTCTTTCAGACTAGTAAATCCTTCATGTTTTCATCTTTTACTAAGTAGGTAGGTTAGAGGGGACTTGGTAAAACTCCGAAAGTGAGGGGAGACTTTGTTCTCTTTTCCACTTCCATCCCGAGAATGAGTCGCGAGATTTTTAAAATTTACTCACATGGGTTATGAATGTGCAAGTGACGTTAGGTAGGAAAGAAAAGAATGTCGCTTTTTTTCCTGTTTTTTCTTTTGAAATAAATATTTCTTGCCAACTAATGCATATCCAAAACAAAAATTTTATGACAAAGTTACGAATGTTTGTAGTACAGAGCGGTATATACAGTGCTGGACATAGTTATAGAGACACCTTAGAAATAGTCGTAATTTTCGTTCTTGTCAATGAATCTGTCTGAAACTTTGCTGTATTGTGCGCATGTCAACCTACCATAACCCCTCAAAACGGCTTCCGATCTTGTTGAGTTTGAACGGAGAAAAACGGAAAAATTCGACAAAGCCTTCAATAAAAGCTGGACAAGATTATAAAGACACCTAATTTTTTCAATCACTATCGCATTCCTTAACGCCTAAATTTCTTTTTGCATATTAACAACTTGAAATATGAAACATTTGCAACATCTGCGCCCTGTCATCATCGGCAAAGATTAATGATCACAGCATTTTTTTTTTGCTTCCAGAAACACCAGAGTCAATCTGCTTCAACAAACGGCTGGTTTGAAGAGTTTACAAGTTCTTGTTCATATCAGATGATAGTCGTGGAATCCACTGAGCCTTTTCGAGAAATGAGTTGAAGAGAATTTCGTATCTGCATAATCGCCGGTATTGACGGACAGACTCCAGCCTCAACATAGGTTTGTCACGCTTTCAAACCACAGGACTCGATTTACAAGCAACAAAAAATACTGTAATTAGCCATCACGACAGCCATACAACAGTGGACTTGTGTGCAAGCCTAG